GGGTATCGCTTATGATGGACAAGTCGCCAAGGAGGTGTCAACCGAAGTATCTTCACGAGCAGCTCATAAGGGCTTATTTTCGTCGTCAAAGGTGACACAATCGAGCCACGGTAGCAAGAAGGATGAACCAGCTTTGTCGGTGAGAGCTCTGTCGCCAACGATTCCTTCTTACTTGTGGTCTTCACAGTCCGAAGCTGGTGAGACGGACGATGAACAAGATACGGAGGAAATCCAACTGCACCAAAGTCGACTTGCAAAGTCCTTTGCTGCAGTGAATGCGGCGGAGGACCAAAAGACTGTGGCGCTCGATATCCTTCAACGAGATGCACGCCATCGTATTGATCCCAGCTCAAAACGGCCTATGGCACACGTACCTTTCTACGAGTCGGAAAGAACCACTCGTCCTACAGTCGAGACTTTCTGCGACGTGGTGAACATCAGCACCAAGTCGGATCTAACTCACTCGACAAGTCTCGCTGCCACATCCGATGACGAAGCATGGCTCTCGCACCTCCCCTCCATGATCCTGTGCAACATGATCCCCCCTTACCTTGACCTTAATCCTCTCCAGATCAGTCGGCTTATCATCCGCATCGCCGTAACGTACATCCTCAACACTGATGCTGTCCAGTCCATCCACCTCTCATCCTTTCTCAAAACACTATTTCATCCCTCCTCTGCATCCTCTCACCATTTTGAACTCTGCACTACAGTACCCCAGGCTTTGTCGCAGATCATCTCGCTCATCCCACGAATCCTCAACCGCATCGGCGTTCGCGAACATGTTCTCGAAGAATGTTTTCCGGATGAGGTCGAAGTGACCAGTTGGGTCTGTCCGACTTTGAAACGGCCCACCACGGCAAGTGGCAAACCAAAAAAGTGTCAACGCGTATACTTGACCCAGGCAGAGAGGGAGCATATCTTGACAAATCTAGCTCAGGTGCTCGAAATGGTGACTCGTGCGGATGCAAACAAAGGGGAACGAGTGGTTGGGTCAAATGTGACAACCTTGGCTGGATATGTGGCAAGTATGGCCATTGCCAGTGCGGCAAGTACAAACTTTACACTCGAGGCACAAATCGGAGGTGCTCTCAACGCAATCTTTTCAGCTGCAGCAAGAGAGTCGTGCGAATGTCTGAACGATTTGCAAAAAGAAGTATGTCGACGAACATTCACAGCACTCGATACGGACTCGATTGTGGTTCGCGCCAGATTGGTCTCTGTTTTATCCGCAAAAGCGCAAACAACAGAGATGGTTCAAGTTCAAAGATTCTTGGCGTGGCTAGCGCTTACCGAGCATCTGACGAAACCGTCCGACACAATAGGAGTTGCGGCCGCGTCGCCTGTTGAAATTGAGATGATAGAAGATGTCCCCTCGTCTGACCCTGTGATGGATGGGGTTGTCGAAGCCGAACGATTTAAGAGGGAGAATGTGTACTGGAGACGGACACCTTTCCGGCCATTCTCATTGGACTTGAAGATGCTTGTTCGGGCCATTGATTCAAGTGACCCAACATCGCCATTCTACATTGCACCTCCTTGGATATCGTCAAAGTCTAATAAAGAGGCAAGTGCTGGGACACGATTTGATGTGGTTTTAAGCGCCACGCAACTAGTCGGATTCGCTCTTGGTGAACTTGCGATTCATCTATGTACCTTTTCATCTCCGATTATTCCCACTACTGAACCCTCAACCTGCGACCATACTAAAGGTAAACCCCTCCCTGCAACAACAACAACAACAACAACAACAGCAGCAGCAGCGGATGTTACGACCAACAAGGTGAAAGGGACCAAAGCACTTCGATTAGCACTCACACCGTATCGTACATTTTTGCCCAAACTCGACTCATCACGCATCATCATGGTGAGAAATATCATTCATCAATTGAACAATGTGAATAGTAGGATTAGGGATAATCGAGGGGATGTAATTTTGAGAAGTTTGGTCAAAGATGCTTTGCAGAGAACGTGGCATTTGTTGGAATCTTGTTTGCGGATGTATTCGAAGGTGGATGATGTGATTTGGTGAATTTTTAATTTTTAATTTTTTTTTTTGTTAGTTGGTTGAAAATTGAGCTTTATTATTGTTAGTATTGTTATGTTGACCATAAATTATTTTGAGTGTGTATATACAGGAAATGAAATGTGTAACTAATTCCCAAATAAAATAATAATATTAATAATAAAATTAAAAAAAAATGGTTACGGTTTTTAGGTTGAACGACGACCAAGAAGCCTTTTTAAATGATTGATCGTCTCCAAATATCACCGTCGATGGTCTTACACTCTCACACACATACAAACAATCATCCATACGAGGACCGAAGAGGGAAGAGGGGGGGGGGGGACAAAAACATTCAATTCCAAAAAAAGACGATACCATTCACCCAAATAAACAAGATCAAATCCAAAAAAAAAAAAAAAAAACTATGCTACACCACAAACCTCATCTTCCACTCCTTAAGCCTCTCTCTTTTCTTTTCTTTTTCTTTTTCTTTTTCTTTTTGGTTTTTTTTTTTGTTTCATATTTTTTTTAGAAGACGATGGCTCAACTAAACGATCCAGCAAACATGGCCAAGAGAGTTACCCAAGCACCCCTACCCAAACTCTCAACACCTTCCTCATCCACCATCTTATTCAAACAATCCATCAAACCTTCATACCTCTTAACCACCGGTGCGCCAAACTCTGCAGCTGCCTCTTCTGCTGTCTGCTCTTCAATCGGTCGAAGCGCAATCACTGGCTCGGGTGGTTCACCACCGCTATTGAACGACGGTCGCGAGTTGAACCCGTTCAAGGCACTATTGGTATTGCTGCTGTTGCTGCTTGTACGTCCGGGATCGAGCGAAGTTTGGCCAAGCACTCGAGCACTCTTATTGCTGCTGTTGCCATCGTTGGGTCTGTTGGAGCTGGCGGCGTGTGCATCATCGTCATCGTCACCTTCGTCGTCAATGGCAAACGAAGGTCGACCTGGCAATTCATCAGGCGAGCTTGGCAAAGGCTTGTCAGCAGCGGCGCTGTCGGTCGAATTTGTCGTGTCTGCGTCGCGGTAAGTTCCACCAGTGTGAGCTTGAGCAGCAGCGGTTGCTTGGTGAGAATACGGTGAGGGAGCGCCAGCGCCATTGGTAGGTAATTTTGCATAAGCCCTGTGCAATGGGTTCTGCCTCTCTGGCCTCTGTGTCGACAATCTGACCATGGCGCACTCGAGCGGGGCGAGGACGACGACGCTGATGACGTTCCAAAGCACGAACAATGGCAGCCCGACTGGGCTGAGTTCGAGCATGTTCGAGTTGGGTCCGCTGTACGTATCCTGCTCGGGGCTGGCTGGTGTGGAACCGGGAAGACCGCCGAGAGAAGGCACAGTGAGCTGTCTGACGATTCGGGTGGCCAATCCGATCCAAGCGACGTGGGCGACGTTGGCAGCTAGCAAACCAGGGAGAAGGTACATGCGCCAGGGCTGGCTGAATTCGGTGTAGGAAAGCAATTCCCTGAGATTCTCTCGGGGTGTGTTGAGTGGCAGGATGCGCGGGTGAACGATGGTACGGTAAGTGAGGACGTTGAGGGGCAGGGCTGCCATCGAGACAAAGAGCATGTAGAACAGATTGGCAAAGAAGCTAAACTGACCTGGACCGGCGGGACCAGCTTTGTACGCGCTACCTGGCGAGCTAGCGGATGCGCTGGAGAAGAAGATAAAAGTGAGCGTGCTCAGAGTGAAGATCTGAATGGCAACGGGGATGGAGCCTTTGTAGATTCCTGCCCATCCTTCGAGGCGTTTTGTTCTGAGCATCATTGAGAATACGCCAGTGACGACGGGACCGATCTTGGCACTGGAGCGACGCTCTGAGAGGAGGAAAGAGGAGAGAGCACGAGGGCCGGAAGTGGATCCAACGGCCCCATCTTCGAGTACGTTGTCGAGGCTGACTGCTTTGGGAAGGTAGTTGGCACGAAGTCGGACAATCGCACCGTTGAAAGGTTGCGAGATGAGGACCGAGATGGCGATGGATAGCGTGATGGCTATGAGGAATACGAGTGCGTCGAACAAGAACATGTCGGTAGTAGTATTGATACTATATGGTGATGGGTGTTGTGGTGGAAGGGTGGATAAATGCAAGGGCGACACAGGTATTCGCTTTCAGCACAAGATTAAGCTCGACACGTCAAGTTTCGCAATTGAGATGGAAAGCCGCACTAAGAGCAAGGATTGTTGCGAAAACTCGTGTGTTGGTCGTGACTTGCCAAAGGTGGACGATGTGATGTCGAGGATGATGGTGTTAGAAGTGGAAGGGAATGTATTGAGAAGAACAAGGCTTGAGATCGCACGGTCCAGCCCAACTCAGCCGAGCTTGAGAGCACCGCCCAAAAGCGGCTGACACAATTCCAGGCACCAGATCGAGTCAAAAAGCCTCGCTAATTTTGATATTATTGATTCATTCAGCTGCCGGTATTTCAACATCAACGCGCTTTATTCACAGCAACAACAACAACAACAACAACACAACGGCAAGACTCGATTCCTCACTCACTCTTGGACAAGGATGCCACAATCAAGTCTTTTACACATTCTCAATAGAGCTGCACCTTGGCACTCCGATCTACAGTATTGCACGCGTCGTCCACACTCTCTCCACGTTGAAGCCACATCCTTTGAATATCATCAGGTTGCTGCAAGCCGATCTTCTTGGAGGTGATTTATTGCTACACCGTTCTCTTCACAGGGAGAATATGGTTCCGAGGAGAGCTCAAATAATCTATCTAAGCTTGCAGCCTTGAGTTCAATGCGGTTCCAGCAAGGCTATTTTTTAAGACCACCTTTTTCTCAGTTTTTTGTTTTGCTTTTGTTTTCCTTATTTTTTCAAGGTTCACCTGTGCCGTCTCTTACTACCCGTTAATCTTTCAACGGTGCAACTCGTTCATCAACAAAAATATCTAACACTAATTCTGTGTTGCAAAACCAAGCTCTGAAGGGGCCAACGCAGAGAGAAAAAATAAAAAATAAACGACGCCTACAGGATTTGAACCTATGCTCCCAGAGGGAATGGCATTATGTTGTTGAGTAGATGTATACTCTAGAAGTGTGTCACAAATCAAATTGGCACTTAGTTCCTACTTCTAGTGCCACGCGATAACCACTCCGCCAAAGCGCCAGTTGTGTCCGAAAGTGGCAAAATAAAAGTATATGAACGGTACATTGAACGACCTTCGAGATGAAGGTCACAGTATACTGTACGTGCAACGAGAAAGGTGCTAGGTGATATGAAACAGAAGCGGTGGAGTCAGTCGACAGAGTCAATCGATGAGAAAGGTCAAGTGAATGTCGCAAATGAAACGCATGACCAAGACGACGATGAGAGGAACAAGGTTGGCAACCAACGGGGTGGTTTGGTCTGCTGTTCTCACCAAGGTTCATCATACGTGCCATCTCAAGATGGTTTGTTGCAGACGTGAGCATATGCTACAGTGACTCACCTTAGCATCTTGCCTCGACTGAGCAGAGAGCAGAGAGTACAATGCAATCAAAGGATGGATGTTTCTTCTCCTCGTCAACACCAACACGATTCTGTCATCTTCTTGGACGACTAAAACACTCACCCATCTGTGTAATTCAACGTTGGCCCTTTGTCACAACACATGGTCGCTGGTCTTATCCGGGGCCCTATATTGATTGACGACAGCACTGTGGCAACGGAGTCAAGAGTCCCCTCGTCTATGCGCCCGGCTTGCGAGCAACTGAGACAAGACATCATTCCATTTCAAGACTCTGGCGACGAGTAGTACCCACCCGGACGATCATGATCTGCCATGATTTCTAAAGCTTCCTCTAGCAAGGGTGATGAAGACTGCGAAAAGCTGGTTCTCAGTCTCTTTGGACAAGCCAACTGCTTCCATGGCCACCTATCTCCTCTGTGCTTTGGTGCTGCACAGGAATAGTTCCGTCCATTACTGGCGTGAAGCTCAGGGCGGAAAAGCCATAATCTCATGGTCAGCTCATCTGGGCTCCGGCACAAGGACGCTTCACACTGGCTGTGAGCTTCTGTGCATGCGTGTAAAGGATATCATGGTGATGCTTTTTGATCGTGATGCTACAAGAAATACTCGACCGCCTCGTGTTTACCGTTCGCCGTTGGCCCTCCATTGAGATTATGCTGATTGGGTCCGTCTCTTTCGTTTTCTGGTGCAGCCTCAAAGGTGTTGAAATGCTTGCTTCCGTCCGGAAACACCTCTAGAATGCTGGCCATATTCCCGCAACGATAACAGTAATTCGGTGCACTCCATACAGTTGATAACCTGTCATCGTACAACACGCTGAAACCTTCCATACACAACTGATGCGCCCTTAAAATGTGATTCATGTTGTTCCGATGCAAAAAATGCTTGACTACACTTGCGCCAAAAGTATAGCCTGCGCCTCGAGGCGAAATAGCAAACTCTTCCTTGTCCGGATCTGGATCGGACCACACAAGATCCGCCATTGGCCCTTCGTGTGGGATCTCGCGGAATCGGTCGATGATCTTTACCTGGTCAATGTAGTGCACCGAAGGCGATAGTCCACCGTGAACGCAAAAGATCTGATCGTCAATCACAACAGATAGTGTGAGAAAGTCAAACATGTCTGTAAAGTATGTCCACACGTTCGCTGATCCATATTTTCGTTGGCATTCGGTGTAGAATCCATAAGTCTGCGTGACCGCCCTCGACTCGTGATTGCCGCGAATCAGTTGCACTCGGTCTGGATACCGCAATTTGAGGCATGTGAGTAAAGAGATAGTCTCCACAGAGAACAAGCCCCGATCCACGTAGTCGCCCAAAAAGAGGTAGTTGGTATGCGGTGCGTAGCCGCCAATACGAAAAATCTCTATCAAGTCGTAGAACTGGCCATGGATGTCACCAACCACAGTGACTGGAGCCGAGATATGGACGACGTTCGATTCGCGCATGAGGATCTCCTTTGTCTTTTCGCAGATCTCCTTGAGCAGCGCTTCGCCAAGAAGTTGCTTTTTGAGCAGCGTGGCGATACACGCATCGAGGTCGAACGCCATGCTGGGCGGCGGTTTGTCCGACCTGGCACGTTGCTGGAAGTGCCTGGCGAATGGTAGAAAGCGCACACAGAGAGGCTAGTGGGTTGGGTGGATGCGCTTGCAATGCAGTTGCCTGTGTAGAACGGCGTGCCACGAGCTTAGACGACGACAGCAGCCAAAGGCAAACGGGAATGTGTGTGTGGAGGGAGTCGTTCAAGATGATCTTCCGAACGCACTGCTTCAAAAGCCGGTCTTTTTTCGGCTTCTGCCATGTTACATCGTCCAAATTTTGAGTCTTTCAAAAATTACACCCAGCTGCCAGCATCCTCTTGCTGCTACACTCTGACTTGGGTGAGCAATTGTTGCTGTCTCAACGCATCAAATTTGCTTGCTCTTTCCAACAGGACACATCTGCTCACACTCATCCGCACATTCATTCCAAGCAGAGATCTTGAGAAACATGCTAATGAATTCAAGTCAAACCAAGGACAACTAGCAAACGGAGGCCTGCCTTCTGCGAGACATGATGAGAAAACGAAAAAGAAAAGATTGAGAATAGTTGGCCAAGAGAAAGGCCAGGGGGAGAAAAGACAGTGTGATTGCAATTCGATACTACTTTTATGAATAGTTCCTTCCACTGTCGCCACACCTTGGGCGAAAGGGGGGAAAAGCAACTGGGTATGATGCATCGTCTCGGCTCCCTGTCACATGACGTACGCACTCGGCACGACTCCAGTGAGCCCGCTGCTGTTTCTAGCCAACCACCAATGCCTGTACTGGTCGTCGAGGATCTCGATGGGCTCTCCTGCCGTGAGTGGCAGCTCGGACTCGTGATTTGGAACAAAGTCATACCTTGCATGCGCAGGAATACCCTCCGACGGCGAATCGCCTTCTTGATCGCCTTCGATGGCCGCTGCTGCCACAGCGCTGCCTCCCACCACGCCTGTGGCTTGACCAGCTTCAGCGTCAGAGAACCCAGCGTCGTCTGTGAGGTACTGGGATTGACCTGTGCGTCCTCCGTCGCTGTGGTAGTTGGAAATAGCGGCTTCATCGCTCGTATCGCCTGCATCGCGGTGGGCAGCCATAGCACCGGCAGCACCCGCACCAGCAGAGGCTCCAATGCCAGCACCAGCGGCAGCACCACCATGTGCCCCAAGCATTGCATTTTCAGTAGCGGCGTTCAGGGTGGCCAACAGGCTGGAAGGGCGCTTTTTTTCGCCAAAACCGAGCGACTCGTCGCTTGCCGAGATAGGCACATCCATGTCCTTTGGCTCGGGTCGTCTTCTTGCTACCGCCCAGATCAAGCCCAGCAGCACCAGAAAGAAGACAATTCCCAGGCCAATGGCGATGGAGATGAGGATAACGAGTCCGACAGCCAAGTGGTGCAAGTTGGGGAAGCGCAACACTTCGGTCGATCGGATAAAAGCTCGAACGATGCCGGAAGAGCCATCGAGGTTGGTGGCGAGCAAGAAGGGAGAGTAGCTTTGACCGTCGAAGAAGACGCTGGAGATGTTGCCATAGTCCTGAGTGGTCAGAGCACCGCTGACGACCAGCATACGATTGTCTTCGAGAACGTTGTTGCTGGCATGTGCTTTCGAAATGGGGACAAAGGTGAGCTGCGAGATCCCGGTGGCGGGCAAGAATTGACCGGTACCGACGGCTGTGTACTGAGTTCCATCCCACATGACTAGATAAGGATCGGTTCCATCGGCAGTGCGGCCGGCTGCAAAGATGGCGTTGGCATTCAGGTCATCGACGCTGACAGCAGTGGCAGGGCCCGGGATCTGGTTCGCGCCGCTTCCAACCGACCCCAAGCTGGACCAGATCTGCGAGTCAAAGTTGTAGCTGGCGAGGGAAGCTTCAGCCCCATTGACCGTCATTGAGCCTGCAAGGATGAGTAGGTTGGCTTTGCTTCCAGCAAAGTCGATCGCAGAGATCTGGCCGGTGAGACCGGCGCTCAAGGGACTCCAGCGCATGCCGTTGGTGTCCCAGAGACAAACATTGAGACAGGGAAGTGAACCGGCGGAAGCGAAACTACCTGACACGATGAGCGTAGTAGTGTCGGGCCGGTGGTCGAGGGCGGTGACCGAAAGAACTTGACCAGAACTGGCAGAGAGAGGGGCGCCGTTGGTAACCCAGGCTGCCCTTTTGAGATCGTACGCCTCAAAGCCGCCATCGCCACCGACATAGAGCATGTCGTTGTCAACGAGCAACGAGCGGATCACTGAGATGGACTGCCGGTTGGCTGAAGAAGGCTGCGATGGGAAGGCGGTGGCGGAGTGGGTCGATCCGTCGTAGAAAGCCAAGTTGCGGATGCCAGTCGTAGTAGTGAAGTTGCCACCGAGGATGTTGACGAAGGATCCATCATCGCGTTGCCAGAATGCACTAGCAAGGATTTCGTTCTGACCATTAGACATGAGCGATGCTGGCACCATGACGTCGGCGCGTCTGGTCAAGGATGAAACCTGTGAGGGTGAACGTGCATTGTCTCTGCTCAAGGGAGATCGAGGGAGAAGCGAGCGTAATTTGGAGCCAAGACCGGAGGTCGAGGCGGAGGCATCGCGTTTCTGCACATCGCTCTTTTGAGCTCGACTTCGCTGCTTCTGTTGTCCCGCGACAGCGATGGTACGCCTGCGTGCAGTGTTAGACGAGGATGCGGAATTAGACGAGCCAGCTGGAGATGCAAACTGAAAATTGAGTGACTCGATGATGGGCAACTGGCCGTCGTTGTCAGGCGCACGCAGCTGAGCAGCACCTGATGCCGACTGCAGGCTCACGGCTCGTACGCTTCCGGCAAGGAAGCTCTGCTGGGTGGTGGTGGCAAAGTCGGCAAAAGCTGCCGTCATTTCTGCCGACACGAAGCTAGTCTGCGTCTGCCATCCGTTGGCTGTCGTATTCCAGACCGCGTATCCGCCAGACTGACCAGTGCCGTTGACAGTCTCGAAGGCGCCAGCTACAAGAATCGCATCGGAGCCGAGAGGATAGATCGACGACACAGCACCGTCGGGGCCTCCACCGAGCGCCGTCCAGGCATTGCTGTCGGGATCATAGCGTGCGATGTAGGAAGCAGAGACAGAGTTGTCGGCCGTGCCGGTGAAGCTGCCTCCTACGAAGAGCGCATTTCCAAG